GGGGTAGGGTGGGGGAAGGGAGAAAGAGGTAGCTGATTTGACTCAGCAGCCAGCCACATGCAGGCAGCTCAGCTTATCCAAGGGCCTATTTTAGCTCCCAGGGGTGTGGAAGTTCTGCGCTTGCCCAGTAAGGCTGCTGTCTGCAGGCTTCCAAATGTGTCAGGGAGACATTTTGCTAGCATGGCATTGGTGGGGGTGTGTGGATGAGCCATCCCAGGTTGTTTGAAGCCTGATGCTCTGGGGAATTGGGAACAGTGTGAGGCGGTCTCTTCTCCCTTCTCTCAGGTGGTCTTTGTGTTGCACCTCAGGTGTAATTGCAGCATTGATAGCTTATTGATTTTCCAAATGGACACATAGTTAAGGTATTGGATTGGAGGTAAAGAGAGGTTGGGTTTCCCATCCTTTCTAAGGAGATCTGTCTGTCCTGTCCTGTCTTTAAGCAAGTAAAATCTCTGCTGATTTATGCATGTGTGTATGAATTCCTCTAAACTTTATTGTCTAAAGCCTTATGGTCCACTGTTCTGGCCCATTGCGGGCCTCTACCACCAAGGCAGTGCAGTAGAGCACAGGTTCTTAATCAATGGGTAAAACGAGGGGCCTGGAGGCCAGAGAGCTGAGATGGAAACACCCAGCCCCAGGAACTGTCCTGTCCTGCTGACCTGGATCAGAACCTTGGAGAGCTCCAGGTACAGGGATGCTGGCCAGCTACGCGGAGACAGGAGGCAGTCTAGGTCCCTCAGAGCTGTGGGAGGCCAAGCCTACATTTTTATGTGGATGATAAGAGACTTGAAGGATTTGTGCCTCAGCACTCTTGGGCTTATGGATTTAAATAACCATGAAGTTGAACCGGACTTATAGCTATCCTTGAGGACAGAGTAGTGCTGCCACAGAGGGTTTCCAAAGCTGTAAATATTTACTGAAGCAGGCTGTCTCATTTTCTTCTGCTAAACAGCTAGTGGCTTCCAACCCCTGACCTTTGGTTATCAGCTTAGTGTTTTAACCGAGGCGAGGCGCCACTGAGGCACCTCGGCTTCTAGATAAAGCAGTGCATTATATCCTCCTAGTGTGGAGGGAAAATCCGGCACTCTGGGCAGTGTGGATCCGAGTCCACATTCTGGGAGGTGGGGAGTCACTGGAGGGCTCTGTCTGGAAAGGGCTGACTCGGCTTTGGACCTGGGACACTCGTCCCTCACCTTCTGACCTGGGCACACTATTCTTTTGTGTCTGGCAAAATCAGTTTTGCTTACCTGGCAGTGTTATTTCGTGGAGCAAGTGAAAACAAGTGTCTGCTAAAGTCCTTGAATTCATGGAAGCCTTAGCCAGTGGAAGGTGGTATGATTGCCAGTGTGATTGATTCCCGGTTTGCTAAGCCTGCCAGTAGGAGCCCTGCATATTCAAGATGCTGTCTAAGAGGTGCACCCTCCCCCACTTCGATTTGCGCAGTAATTGCTGCCATGGGGTCAGTGTGAGCGTTGGCTGTTTTTAGCCAAAAGCTAACCACACAGGGACCAGTGGCTTGCTCTGCATCTTAGTTTTTGAACTAAGGACTTTGTCCTGCAGTCTTTTGGAAGCAACTTGGAGGTAGGGACATGATAAGATCAGACATTTGCTTAAGAAAAGTGTTTCATGTAGCCCTGTGAGGCTGCGCTGTGCCAGGGGAGACTGGAGACAGTGAGAGAGGTTAGGAGGACACTGTTGATTTGCAGGCAGGGCTTGGAGAAGAGTGACAGTGATGAGAGCACTGAAGCTAGCCTCCTCTGGTTACAGTCCTGAGCCTGCTACTTGTTGAACCTCAGTCAGGTGTCAGTGAGCTCGGTCTTGGTGTCTGCTCTGTCAAGTGGAGAGGATGATAGTACTGACTCAGCCAGGCTCTTGTACAGATTAAATGTCTCAATGTAGGTAAAGCGCTTTGGCCAGGGGGTTGGCACGCATAAAGCTCTCAAATGTTAGCTGATATTCGTGCTTTTAAGGCAGGGCAGGAGGAATGGGGAGACACAGAGAGACTGAGGAAGAAGAAAATGTGGACTGGGGTGAAGGTGAGTTTTCCAGCTTGGGTAAGTGGGTAGATGACGGGGTGTCAGGCCAGGCTAGTCGGGAGAAGGGGCAGGTTGGAAGAAAGGTGCTGGGGGGGCAGGGTGGGGGAGGCTGTGCCGTATTGAGTCTGGAGTACTTGCGTGTGGTCCAGGTGTAAAGAATCTGCAAAATTCTTGTCCTTGTCCGGTGTCTGATTGGTGTCTTGGAAATCAGGTCATATTTAAAATTGCAGGTCATATTTTAAATGCAGTCTCCTTCCTCCTATCATTTAAGAAGCACCTGTAGAAATTCTCTCATCATTTGAATTCTCTGCCTAGTGAATATAAATGAGCTTGGAGGGGAGTTGTAGACCCTGAGTTGTTTCTCGCCCGGCACTGGTTTCTCTCCTCCTCGACTCAGTTCTTGCTATTGATCGGACTGTTCCTTCCCAACCTACTGTCCAGGGTGCGGCTTGGGAACCCATGGGTGGCACTCATTCTCCAGGGGATTCCCTCTATGTTTTTCCCTCACTGTGTACCAATAGAGTTGTTCACTGCCGGAGCCACCCCCGACATCTGGTGACCCCCTGGTCCTGTGCCATTCCTATGCTTGGATGTGGATTATATCATTGTGATCCATAGGGCTTTTCATTAGCCGATCCATACTTTTGGGAAGTAGGTTGCCAGGCTTTTCTTCCTTGTCTCAGTTTGGATGCTTTGCTGAAACATTTTCAGCTTTCCTAGAAGCACTCAAGCCTTCATTGACAGACCCATGAGGGTACATTGCCCAGGAATCCAACCTGGATCTTCTACAGGGAAGGGGAGAACTCCTGCAGTGTTGCCCAGAGCATATTAAATGGCTCCCTGGTGAGGTTAAATAATGTGTTCCCACACGATGTTGGGTCTAGGTGGGCTATTTGTGTGTGCTCAACCATATCCACACTCTGACAGAAAGTGAGGTCAGCACAACTGATCTTTCCTCAAGAAGCACTGTTGGGGACCGAGCCCACTTGATGGCTCATTTTCTTCACTTTTAGAGCCATAGCAGGTTGGCAGCCATCACTGAGAGCTTCCATCATGCGGATCAGGCGGGCAATGTTTGCAGATTTCTCCCCAATGCCATCTGCCTACTGAGGCTATAGGAACCCCCCAACAACTGCTGTTCTAGCAGGTGCTGGGGCTGTCGAGCTGGGTGTCCATGTACGTACACATGTATGTACACAGCTTTGTGGAGGGCACTGAGGTGCCCTGGTTGGCCTGATAGCTGAGGTTAGGTCTCTGAGATACCAGCTGAAATCTTCAGCCTAGCAAAATGCCAGCCCCAGTTGCTGGTTTCCGGTGGGGCCCCAGGGAGGAAGGCTATTCTGAACAGAGTCAACAGCCGAGAATTGGAGACAGTAACTAGCACTTGGTGTGTAGGAAGCTGCTGGGCAGGGTGGGTACTGCCTGTGTTTTGACAAGCTATGTTGCTCTTTCCACATCTGCCTTATGCCTAGACTAAATCTTGGCCCCCTACCCAGTTTGCTATCTTCATATTCATCCCATAGAACGAGTCCCTCCCCATTTCTTAGCCCATTTATCTTTCTCAAGAACACAGTCCTTATCTGTAAGCCCTTCCTGGCATTCAGTCACCCTTTGGGCCTAGCCCCTTCCATCTCCCTCTTTCCCATGCCAGGGTGATATGATGGGTCCAGGCAGGCCCATATTCACTCTGCTCCTTTGGGCAGAATTCTGGCAGATGGAACTATAGTTTGTGACTTATTATCATTTGAGGCTATTCATGCCTTGGAAAGACATGCATATTACGAAAGTCATTTGAAGTATTTGTATCAGCCATCATGTTTCAAAACTGAGATCTCAAAGATCTTAAAGAGCTCACCTAGAACAGAGGTTGGTAAGTTTTTCAGTAAAGGGCCAGATGGTAAATAATTTAGGCTTTGGTCTCTGTCCCAACTACTCAACTCTACTGTTGTTGCATAGCCCAAACCCGAACCAAACCAAATCCACTGCCATCAAGGGGATTCTGACTCAGCAACCCTATTTAGAGTTTCCGAGACAGTAAAGCTTTACTGGAGGAGACAGCCTCATCTTTCTCCTGCAGAACACCTGGTCGGTTCAAACTGCCAAATTTTCAGTTAGCAACCCACAGTGCTATCTCACAGTGCTAGCATGGCTCCTTGTTGAAGCCTAGGCAATAAATAAACATTGGTGTGTTCTAATAAAACTGTATTTACAGGAGAGGGAAGGGGGTGGAATGGAAACGGGAAACCCAGGGAGGAAGTGGGAAGAGTGCTGTTTCAGTGTGGGGATTGCAATCGATGTCGTGAACAATATGTGTGTGTGTGTGACTTGTCGAATGGAAAATTAATTTGCTCTGTAAGCTTTCACCCAAATCACAAGAAATAAAAAAATTTAAACCTTTACAAAAGCAGGTGGGTGATGAGCTGTAGTTTGCTGACTTCTGGTCTAGAATCATAGTCTTTATCTTTGTTTGTAATCTTTATTTTCCCCCCATTGTTGAGGCCTCAAAAGCACACTGTAAATAAATGTAATCACCTTCATTTTGTTTCAGTATGATTATGAGCACAATGGTAATTTGGGAATGTAATTTTCTAAACCTTTGTTGAGAAGAATAGGAACCCGAAGGCGTTTAAAGGCTGGCTCTGGCTTGTCATTGTTCACAAAGTAGGAGAGGCGGGTGTGGGACTGTGTGGTAGGTGGTAGGGTAGCCTTTATGCATCATTCATTTTCTTCGTGGCCACAGGCAATGGCTGTAGTCACATCAGGGCACATCATCACACTGGGCATACCTCTGTTTTATTGCTAATACAGGCAAAGGGGAAAGCTGAACTGATGTTTCTAAAAGAGCATGGTACACTGAATTGGGGGTCATTGTAGTTCATTTCCAGGAAGTTGGAGTATAACATAGTCAAAGAAGTATACAATTTCACACTACAGCCTGGTTTTCCTTTTGTCTTCCCTCAACAGGAAATAAAGAAAGAGATGAAGAAAGACCCTGTCACCACCAGCAAAGCTCCAGAAAAGCCCATGCATGACGCAGCCGGTGGAAATGCTTTGCTGTCTTCTGAGACCATTTTAAGAACCAACAAGAGAGGTATGGAAAAGGCGAAGGAGCCCCCTCTCTGTAAACAGACAGGACTAGAAACTTGTGCGTGAACCATGTTGAGTTTAGAATGACTCAAAGAGAAATGAAATGGAGTGGACCATTCTGTTTTGGGTAAAGATTTTGCGCGCACACACGCGCGCAAAGGGTCAGCGTATGAAGGGTTACACAGTAACTCTAATAATAAAGGGAACTGATTAAAATATTGTGCCAATGGCTCAATTTCACGGTGGTTTTTCTAGGGCTTTAGCTTTTATGTTTTGGATGGAAGATGCACTTCCAGAATGCTCTGGTATGGGCCTGAACTGTGTGTCTGATGATTAAGTTAAGCAGGCTTTACCAGGCCCTTGCTCTCTTTAACTGCTTGTTCCCTAACACAGCCCCTGCGTCCTCAGTTTATGAGGGTCTGTGCTAGATGCTGCTCACACAGACATCTAAACTGGAGCCCTCTAACAATCAGACTCTCCCAAGGATTTTTTGTTTCTTTGAGACTTGGAAGCAAATTTTAAAATAGCAGCTTGCTAGAATTTTGTCTTCTCCCCCACCCTTCCTCATCATTTAAAATGTCAAGAGAGAGTCTGGGGAGGCAGAGACGACTGGATCTCATTTTATACTGTCGCACTAGGGCTAGGTGTCCCCCAGTTTTTCCCATGCTCCCTCCCCCACCTCCCAGCACTGCTAGGCACACCCACAGGCAGCCAGCGGGCAGCTGCAACTCGCTCTCCACTGGCTGCTGACTTCTTTACAGTGAAAGTCAGAGCTGAGCAAGAGCATGAGCAAAGGGTTTCATTAAAAAGAAAGAAAGACGGATGGGGGGGAAACAGGCAAATTTATACAACCACGGGGAAGAACAGCTCATCTTTCACACAATTTAGACAGCAAAAGAACTTGGCCAATAAACTGTCCATTGATCCCAGAGCTGGAGACATGAGCTTTGTGTCTCTCTTCCTTCCGGCTTCTCTTCTACCCCCACCCCCACCCCCACCCCCAGCTGCCCTGGTTTACATTTCCTTTTTTGAATTATTCAGATGCAACATTGGCTGGAGGCCCACGTTTCTTAACAGCTATAGATGGTCTTTCCTTCTTTTTAAACCCCATCCCCTCCAATGCAGGGTTTTCTGGGTTTTGTTTGTCCCATTTTACGAGTTAAACACACTTTGCCCTCAAGCCTCCCCCTTCACTGAAAGCAGCCTCCTGCATTCTGATTATGAGCCCCGCACTGCTGAGACCTGTCCTCACTGGGTCGGTCTGCCAGAGCTCAGCGCACCTTCTCCGTTTCCCAAGCTCCGGAGGCCTGCAGAGGCCGGAGTCGCACCCCTGCCTTCAGCCCGGTGTTGGTAAAGTAAATAGAAGAATTAAGGTAATTAGTTAACTTAGTAAGATAAGGAACTAATTGAGGCAAGAAATGAAGGTAATTGTCAAGGTGACCTGGGATAGAACTTTTCATAGCATTCTCTGTACAGTAAAAATCTGGCCTTTGAAGTTTCCTAACAGAATTTTTCATGAACCCCCAAAATGGACTCCCCAGGAGCAGCCTCCTGATTGACACCTTCTGTAAGCTCCTGGCTTAGGCCCACGGCTTGCTCACCACCACCCTCTTAGGGGTGTGTGTCATGAACGAACGTACCAGTCTTCAGCCCACAGGGACCTTCTTTAACTAGGAAATGCATACATCCACAATCTTTATTCTGCCCCAGGCATTGCACTGCCCTCCCTGGGTCACCTGGGCTCAATAGACATTTCCAGTTGCAGCTCAGCTGCCTTTAGCCCTCCCCCACCAATCAAGACTGGCAGTCTCCCACTGCTCCTTATGATAAACAGCGGGGAGATTGATGGGCCTTGTCCCACCAGATAAATGGTTCATTGTGCTGAGCTCAAAAGCAACATTTTCCCCCCACCAAAAATCAATGGGAAAAAAACACAACACTTTTTTCCAAACCAGGAAAACAAACCAAGGATAAGAGCAATACTAGTGACTTAGAAACACTTTGGCCCAAGGAAGTTCTATTTTGTGAATCATTGTAAATGACTCTGGAGTTTCCCCAGCTCCTCTGCCCCCGTGAAGCTTTGCCCCTAGAAATCCTTCAGCCGTTTTTTGGCTCTTACTATGGTTTTTGGCTGTTCAGGAAGGAATTTGCTTTCAGAGTTTATTAACAGCCTGCTTTGGCTCAGTTAGAAGCTTTCTTAGAGTATACGAGTCCACTTTGTAATTCAGCCTTGGAGTCTGAAAATTTAATAGAACAGAGTGTGTGTGTTTCTTTTGTTTTGCTTTTAAAGCAAAGATGACAGAACTGTTTACTTTATCTGGACCTTATCATTTGATAAAGGTTTCTAATTGGCTTAATAAAAATTGATGGAAGCCTATTTGTATTATGAATTGGAAATGACAACACTTCTTAAGATCTTTACTTTGAAGTAGATGGAGCTGAAGAAGTTTGCCCACTTGTGTCAGGGGCGCTTTGCATCTGGGGACCTACTTCATTTTGTGGGAGCAGTGAAGAGGTTCCAAGGTTCCAGGCCTCACAGTGCTGATGAGTTCAGCCTCCCCAGGCACCTGCATAAGGTCAGGAGAGACCCTGGGCTTGAAGGAAGCTATTCATAACCTTGAGAAAAGGCCAAGCCAGTGGAAACATTTCATCTGGGAACCTATTGGTTCCAGCTTTCAACTTTAATCTTTGCACATTTCTGCAGAGGTGACTTAGGGAGGTACATGAACGACTCCATGGGCTTTTCATTTGAGAAGAAGGCGATGGAACTGAAATTCAGAGATCAAATCAGTCCCCTCCAGCTAGCTTGACAGACATCAGTTTACATATTTGGGGCATTAGAACTTCAGGAACAACTATGCCTGGCCATTTCTTTGGCCTTTACCTGAATTACTGGGAAGGAGCTTCCCATTTAAAATGAGCCAGTCTCTCGAACTAATTGGTCCTTTCTCACTGAAATTCGCTGCGAGAAGTTGTATATCCTAAAGTTATCCCAGACTCCAGTATGTTGATGAGTCCCAGCCAGAAGTTCTAAAGACGGTTTTTTGAAGCCAAATATTACTCTCTTGTACCAGGCAGAGGAGTCTGATTTCTTCTAAGAAGACTCTTTTCTTTCATTTCCTAAGCTGTTAAACCCATGTAGGAGAGAGGCGGGACCTCCTAAATTGGAACGTTGGTTATGTAGAGGAATTTTTAAAGGCATTTTTTAAGCCTCAAGTTGAAAAGCAAAATGGAATAAAATGGAAGTTTCAACAGTTAATAGAAAATACCCAAAACACATTCTGGAAAATGAGCAAGGGAGATTTTGTCCATGTGGGTGTGGACTCTGCTTCGCTTTCATTTATAACGAGATGAGAAATGATTTGTTTTCATCCTAGAGGAGTTTCCTGGCCAACTGTAGCCCATACCCCATAGGCCTAGGGAGGGAACAGGTTAGAGGGTAGGGCTCTGTCCCCCAAGATGTGTATCTTTAACAGACCACGTGGGGAAAGTCCGGCTCTGCCTCTCTCTGAACCTCTCCTGCCACCTGGAATTGTGGGCCATGTTCCTGTCTCCATTTGGGTGGATTCCAGTGAGCAATCAATCGCACATGGTGACTGGGGGCCTACTGTAGGCCTATCCCTCCCTGCACTTGGCGCTGGGAGACATCAAAACCAGTAAGTCACCAGCCAGCCAGCCCTACCCACAAGCAGTTCTAGTCTCTCATGTCTTTTGGGACATGTTGAGAAAATACTGTACATGATATCCTTTTTTTACAACATTTTTTGGGAGCTCTTACAGATATGCTATCCTTTTTATGGCCAGCTCGGGGTATGTCACTTACTTACTTCTTTGTCATTCAGAATGTGAAGCCACTGCGCGGGTTTCTGGTTGGCTTTATATGTCCTTGTTTCTATTTCCAGTTTATCATGAATTTAGTGTTTGGTAAGTTCTCTATTGTATTTTGCATATTTCTTATTCTTTGCTATGATTGTTATTATTGTGATGCTTTCCTGATAGAAAATGTGTTTCTAATAACCATCTTTTTAAGTCGCTCTGCTTTTACCATCTTTATTTAAGGTTTGTTCTGCATTTGCCTTTGACTGCCCCTCCCAGAGACTGCTACGAAAAGATCTAAGGGCGTACACCTCTTACTTGTGGCTGACCTAGAGCTGATGATAGGAGGCGAGATCTTGCTTCCTCTAGTGAGATTCCAGTTTGGATGGGGTGGATCTCTCTGAGTAGCTAGGAGGATAGCACTTCGACTGTAGAACACTGCTCGGAGTTTGTTGCTGGTGTTTTGAGTCCTCCGGATAGTTTTGTGTCCACAGTTTTCCTTCACAGAGGGACCAATAGCTGTTCTGTCTCAGGGGGCACACTGTTGCTCTAAAAGTCAGTGCAGAAGTTCTCCAGAATTCATTTTTCATGTGGATGGGTGAACCATACACGTCCTTTGACATGAATGTGGGCCTAACGTTCCCACCACAGAAGGGCTCTCCACCTGGTCTGCTGCCTGTCACTGTCTGAGGAGTTTTTACCTAATGTTCCTCTTTCCTCTCCTCGAGTTTTAACACTAGCTCTTCCAGGCCCTATAGTGACCCACCTCCATTGTCTCTCCTGAAAGTAGGGAAAAAAATCTAACCCTCCCTGACTTTTCATTTCTTTAGCGTTTCCTTGGCTCCTTGAAATAATATTTTAGAGCTATCTGTGTGCTGCTGTGTTAGAATATGGGTGAAGGGGTGTGTGTGTGTGTGTGTGTGTGTGAACATGCAGTGAGAATAGAAACCTCTTCTGTTTGTGTGAACCGTGGGCTGTTTGTTTGAAATGGAGTTGTAAAGAAAGGATGGGAAAAAGTGTGTCCTTAAGCAATTTCTTTTTAAAAACAATTTCAACAGCTTTGATTTTTCACTGCTTTTCCAGTGGTTTGTGGGACCTGGGGATTTGTAGACATATGACTGTTTTTTTCCCCCCCGTTCAAATTTGTTTTCAAAGAAACAAATGTAAACTATCTTAATTAACTAGGAA